TCGTGTCTTGACGCTCTTGTCGCAGCGGTCGCTGACTTCACCTCTACCCGCCGCCTTGACTACGCCACCGCTCTGGTCTCTGACCCTGCCTGTCCTCCCTCTGTCGGGGGTGCTCCTGCCCTCGGCAGTGACGTCCTAGAGGACCGTCAGTACGACACGCTGCGTGCTACCCTTGTTGCTTGTAGTTCTATCCGTCCTCTGCAGACCCTCGCTCTTTGTTTGTGCAAGCCAGACTCCGCTCTACATCCTTGATTACGTAGACGACCTGGTCTTCGCCACTGCAGACAGGGACGCACTGGCCTCCGTGAAGGCAGAGCTGCTGAAGAGACACACTTGCACTGACCTTGGAGAATTGCGCCATTACCTTGGCTTGCAGATCTCCAGGGACAGAGCAGCGCGCACCATCACCCTCACTGAGACACACTTGGTGCGCCAGGTCAGAGGTTCGGTCTTCAGTTCTCCTCTGCACAGCCAACCCCTCTGTCTGTAGACCACAGGCTCTCTGCTCCAGTTCCTAAGGAGTTGGTAGAGCCCAGTGGCCCTTACGCCGAGCTGGTGGGTTGCCTCATGTACCTGATGACTTGCACTCGCCCAGATCTCGCATACCCTCTCAGCATCCTGGCTCGCTTTGTGGCCACAGGCAGACACCGACCTCAGCACTGGTCTGCCGCTAAGAGGGTTTTGTGTTATCTTGCAAGTACATCGGGCATGGGGTTAGTGCTTGGAGGGCGTAGGCTAGTGGTCCTTACTAGGCACACAGACTCTTCGTGGGCAGACGACGCTGAGACTCTTAGGTCCTCACAGGGCTACTGCTTTAGCCTTGGTTCAGGTGTTGTCTCGTGGAGAGCTACCCGCTCCTCGTCTGTTGCCCAGTCCAGCTGTGAGGCCGAGATCTACGCCGGTGCCATGGCGGCACAGGAGCTCCGCTGGCTGACCTTCTTGCTCACTGACTTAGGTGAGTGGCCTAGCTCTGCCCTAGTCCTGTATGCTGACAGCAAGGCCATGATCCTCCTGTGTCAGGAGCCGCGACTCGAGGGCAGAGCGGAGCACATCCAGCTGCGGTACTTCCTCCTGCGTGAGCTGCAGCAGCGTCGCCAGGCCGCGTAGTACACTTGGCCTCCGGTGCCAACACAGCTGATATCTTTACGAAAGCGCTTGCGCCTAAAGATCATCAGCGGCACTGTGTACAGCTTGGTCTTGTTCCTGTAGCTTCTCACTTGCTAGGGCCTTGATTGTGTACAAACCTTTTCTATATATATCACCCTAACTGGCCTTGTGGCCTCTCCCAAAGGCTGGACTAGTAGTGCCGCCTTGAGCTGCTTCCTCCCCTATTAGGCACTGCCCATATATAGTCTAGGGGGTGTGTCATATGTAACTTATGTAGTTACTGTAGACTATACTGGATTGTGCCTTAGAGGGTACAACCCCTAGTCTATATACCCCTGTATCCTTCTATTCTACTCTACTACTACTCATTTTGATTGTACTCTCTATGAGCATGCACCTATCTAGCCTATAACATATACAAATATATGTTGCCACACCCCCTAGGCTAGACAAGGGGCAACGACTAGCAAGAGACACGCAGCTCAGGGTGGCAGTACTGGTCCAACCTCTAAGGCAAGGGTCTGAAGACCAGTCTGCAAGAGTACAAAGGAAACAAGAGTAACCCAGGGCGGCACTACTAGTTCAGCCACTGGAACAGGAGCCACAAGCAGGGCTGATTTTATCAGACTATTTAGTCTGATTAGTCTGAAATTTCAGACCCTTTTTTTGGCCAAACCTGAATTTCCAGATAATCCATTTTCCCAATCCTGATCCCTTCAGAGTACAATTCTAGGGATCCTGAGAAAATCAGAGTTGTCGCTAACCCAGTACTGTGTTTCCAGAGCACAGCGCGTACAGACCCTGACTCATTATGTACAGTACCAACCTTCGAAAAAATTGATACATGCCCCACTCATTATGTACAGTACCAATCGCTAGAGACATGCCCCACAACCCCTAAATTTTTTCGGCCAGGTCCCTGAACCCTAGAGACAACCCCCACCCCACACCCCACAACCCTAACAGAATGAATAATTAACTAGAATGGGGAGATACAAGGCAATATAGACTAGCTAGCTCTACCCACGAAGGCACAAACATATATAGTCTACAATAACTGCATAAGTTATGTTTGACACACACCCTAGACTATATAGGGGCAGTGCCTAATAAGGGAAGAATCTGCTCAGAGCGGCACTACTAGTCCAGCCTCTGAGACAAGGGTCTAAAGACCAGTCACAAGGAGTACAAACAAGGCAAGAGCAAGACCAGGGCGGCACTCCTAGTCCAGCCACTGGGAGAGGCCACAAGGCCAGTCAGGGTAAAATACATATATATAAAGGACAGTACAAAGTCAAGGCCCTACAAAGTGAGAGGCTACAAGAACAAGACCTAGCTGTACACAGTGCCGCTGATGATCTTTAGGTGCAAGCGCCTTCATAAAGATATCAGCTGTGTTGGCACCGGAGGCCAAGTGTACTACGCGCGCCTGGCGGCGCTGCTGGAGCTCACGCAGGAGGAAGTACCGCAGCTGGTTGTGCTCCGCTCTGCCCTCGAGTCGCGGCTCCTGACACAGGAGGATCATGGCCTTGTTGTCAGTGTACAGGACCGGGACAGAGCTAGGCCACTCACCTAAGTCAATGAGCACGAAGGTCAGCCAGCGGAGCTCCTGTGCCGCCATGGCACCGGCGTAGATCTTGGCCTCACAGCTGGACTGGGCAACAGATGAGGAGCAGGTAGCTCTCCACGAGACGACACCTGAACCAAGGTTGAAGCAGTAGCCCTGCGAGGACCTGAGGGTCTCGGCGTCGTCAGCCCAAGAAGCGTCTGTGTGTCCTGTAAAGACCACTGGCTTGCGTCCTCCTAGCACTAACCCCATGCCCGATGTACTCGCAAGATAATGCAAAACCCTCTTAGCGGCAGACGAGTGCTGAAGTCGGTGTCTGCCTGCAGCCACAAAGCGAGCCAGGATGCTGAGAGGGTATGCGAGATCTGAGCGAGTGCAAGTCATCAGATACATGAGGCAACCCACCAGCTCTGCGTAATGACCACTGGGCTCTACCAACTCCTTAGGAACTGGAGCAGAGAGCCTGTGGTCTAGAGGTAAAGGAGTGGGCTGTGCGGAGGAGAACTAAAGGCTGAACCTCTGAAGGACCTGGCGCACCAAGTGTGACTCAGTCAATATGATGGTGCACGCTGCTCTGTCTCTGGAGATCTGCAAGCCAAGGTAGTGGCGCAGTTCTCCAAGGTCAGTGCAGGTGTGTCTCTTCAGCAGCTCTGCCTTCACGGAGGCCAGGGCGTCCCTGTCTGCCGTGGCGAAGACCAGGTCGTCTACGCAAACAAGGATGTAGAACGGGGTCTGGCCAGCACGAACGAAGAGCGAGGGGTCTGCAGAGGACGGAAAGAATTGCGGGTCAGCAAGCGTAGCACGCAGCGTGTCGTGCCACTCACAGGGAGCCTGCCGCAGGCCATAGACGGGGCGCCGCAGGAGCCACTGGGTCTTAGGAGGGAAGGTACCAGTGAAACCCTGAGGGCGGCGTAGGTAGACCTGCTTGTTTAGACTGCCCTGAAGAAACGCAGTAGAGAAGTCGAGGGAGTGAAGCTCGTAGTCACGCTGGCTGCTACGTGTAGCAACACCCGAAGAGTAGTCATCTTCGGGGTCGGAGCAAAGGTCTGGAAGAAGTCCACCCCCTCACGCTGACTGAAACCTCTAGCCACGTAGCGCGCCTTGAACACAGGTGGCTCTCCAGGAGGGCGCTTCACCTTGAAGAGCCAGCGGCCATTGACTACGTTCACCCCAGGTGGGGGAACTTTGTCGACGTAGGTGCCGGTGGATCTCCAAGATGCCATCTCCTGCTCCATGGCAGCTATCCATTGAGAGGGAGAGGGTCCCGAAACTGCCTCAGCGTAAGTTCGAGGGGTCGGGATGTCGAAAGCGTCGAGGTCAGCTTCAGGGACTAGAAGCATAGAGCAGAGGTGGGGAGCAGCCTCGGACAGGAAAGCAAGCTCGTACTGGCGGTCCTCCAGGACGTCACTGCCGAGGGCAGGAGCACCCTGACAGACGGAGGACAGTCAGGGTTAGAGACCAGCACGGTGACGTAGTCAAGGCGGCGGGTAGAGGCGAAGTCAGGGACCACAGCGACAACGGCGACAAGAATCGAAACCAGAACAGATGGGTCAGTAACGAGAGAGGCAAGGACCCGAGGAACAAGAGGACGAGTGGCACGCAGGTACTCAGACAGAGGGGGGGAGCAACGACAAGGGAGAACGGAGGGGGCGACGGGAGAAGGGGAGGACGAGACGCGTGGGAACGAAGCAACATAGGGTGAGAGCGCGAGACAAGGGAGACAGGTCAAGCACGGGAGGGACGGCGAGGCCAGACGTGGGACGGAGGAGTCGGGTCAGGAGACAGAGGAGGGGACACAAGAGGGGAACGAGGGGGGAAACGAGCCGGAGACGAGTCCAGAGTAGGGAACACAGGGCTGTATACAGGAGGAGGAGGAGGCACAGGTACGGGGTCAGGGGACGGAAGGCCGAGCAGGCGAAGAGTGGACACCGGCGGGGACAGCTGCGGTGGCGGTGTGACACTGACACCTCCAAAACACTCCACGCCAGCACCCCAGAAGAAACACCCCCAGAGCTCAGAACCCCTCGAGCACCGGTACCACCCCCGGGCCCGCCGGGACAAGCCACGACTGGAGTTCCAAGACTAGTACTCACCCCAACTCCAGCACCCCCAGAGGCAACGAACTGCTGCGGCGGCGGTGACGACGGCTGCGGCAGCTCTGGCGACGGCGGCTGCAACAGTGTGGCGACGGCGGCTGCGGAGGCGGCGGAGGAGGAGACACCTGAGAAGGGGCAGGCGGCGAGGACTACGCCGCAGGATCACCAGAGTCAGCAGACTCCTCAACCGGGACAACCGACGGAAGTGGGGTGACGTAGGACACACCAGAGGGGGCAGGACGGGGAGGGGGAGGAGGAGGGGCGGCGACGACCGGGGAAGGGGTGACCAGGAACAGGGGGGGGTAACAGGGGGACTGCGGTGGGGGAAGCAGCGGTAGAAGGAGACTGACTCGTCAAAGGAGATGTCGCGGGAGTGAAAGAACCGATGAGACGGCGGGTGGTAGAAGTGCCAGTCCGACGCGTCAAGGGGGAAGCCGAGGAAGACACAGGGAAGGGTGCGGGCAGTGAGCTTGTCTGTGCCAGAGACACGAACGTGAGCAAGGCAACCCCAGACGTGAAACACATACACGTCACCAGGTGACCCAGAACAAAGAAGGGTCGGCAAAACCTTAGGCTGCTGGGGGTGCAGCCACAGGTTAAGCTGGTGAGTGGCGTAGCAAACGGCGAACGGCCACTGAAAATGGGGTGCACCGGCATGGATCATGGAGGTGCGAGCCACCTCCATGACCAAACCAATGCGTCGCTCAGCGACCCCATTCTGCTGCGGGGAGTCCGGCAAGGTGAACGTCTGGGTGATGCCCTCCGCAGGACAGAAACAACCAAGGACACCAGAGGAAAGCTCGCCACCACGGTCGGAGTGGAGGCGCAAGACAGGGAGACCGCGGCAGACACGTGCAGCGACAACCCACGGGATAAGAACGTCAGGCACATCGGCCTTCCGCTCCAGGGGGAACACAGTGGTGTAGCGCGTGTAGTCGTCGACAAGCACGAGGAAGTGGCGCTCTCGACGCGGCCCATGGACGGGGGCGGGGCCCCAGACGTCCATGTGCAGAGTCTGTAGCGGTGTAGTGGTAGGGGGAAACGAGGAGGAGTGAGGGGCACGGCGGAGCCGGCCCTCGACACAGGGCGTGCAAGGTGGGGCTGGGGAGGAGGGAAACTCGGGGAATGACCCGGGGAGGCCTAGGACGAGACCGTGCTGTGACATGTGACGCAGACGAGGGAGCACAGGGTGACCTAGGCGGTGGTGCCAGAGAAGGGTCGGGTGGGTGAGAGACCGACAGGAGCAAGCAGCAGCAACCGGAGGAGACGCAACCACCTGAGTGGGGGTCCCAGCCGGGGGGGTCACCGTGTCCAGTGTGAAAAGACCAGACACCGGGTCCCGTGGGAACGTGGACAGGGGGGCACCAGTGGCAGCCTCGATACAAACAGCGTACCGCTCGTGTCCAGGGAACGTGGTGGTGACGCCAAGGTCCTGAAGGCAGCCGACACCAACTAGGTTCCTGGAGAATGAGGGGATGTGCAGACCTGTGAGCGAGCCCGAAGGAACCGCCGGGCAAGGGAGGGTGGTGGAACTGCGGGCGACTACAGGGCCGGAGGAGGGGTCAGTAAGAGAGACTGTGGCGGGGACAGGAAGCGGTGTCAACGTGGTGGAGTTGCGGAAGAAGCACCGGGAAGCGCCAGAGTCGAGGGTGAAGGAGAGCGCGGCAGTGGCGC